GTTTCCAAGCAGCAGCTGGCGGATCCAAACTGCCGACCTTTTGGTTAGCGCAAAGCTCTTAACCAACAGGGCTCCGGTTCAGGGTAGGATGAGTGAATTAAACGACTTGGTCCACAGCGGAGGGCGGCAGCACATTCATTCATTCATTCACCCTCTTGCCTCCAAAAAAGAAAAAAACCAAACCAACTGCGGTCACGTCATTCAGACTCATGGACCCTACAGAACAGGGTAGAACTGCCGCATTGGGTTTCGAAGGCTGTCATCTCTATGGAGGCAGACGGCTGGAACTTTCTCTTGTCTCACAGGTGGTGGGTTCAACAGCTGATCTTTTGGTTCGCGGCGGAGTGCTTTAACCACTGCGCCACCAAGGCTCCTCCTCCAGCCTCCAGGGCATTTTAATCAGAGAATAAGGATGGGCCTCCAACGTCTATGAATGCCCTGCAGTGGGCTGAAAAACTCAATGGGTGTCTGCATTTTCTGGAAAGAGGAGCTGTCACTTTCCACGTTCTCAAAGGAGTCTATGACCCCAATAAGGTTAAATGATTGTTAGTTGCCGCGAGTAGTGGATTCTGACCCTGGGTGACCCCATGTGTTAAAGAGTAGAACTGTGTTCCATAGGGTGTTCTTGGCTATAATCTTAAAGGAAGGTCCCTGGGTGGTACAAACTGTTTGCCCTGGATTGCTAACCTAAAGGTTGGCAGTTCGAACCCAACTCAGTGGTACCACCGAAGAAAAGGCCTTGAAGATTGTTGTTAGGTGCCATTGAGTCAATTCTGACTCACCTTATGGAGCAGTTTTACTCTGTAACACATAAGGCCAGAATCGACTCAATGGCAAGGTGTTAATCTTAAAGGAAACAGATGCCAGGCCCCTTCTTCCGTGGTATTGCTGGGTGGGCTTGAACCGTCAACCTTTAGGTTAGTAGTTAAGCGAAAAACCATTTGTGCCATCTGTTGTTATTAGCTGCCGTCGAGTCAGTTCCGACTCATAGCGACCCTAGATACAACAGAACCAAACACTGCCCAGTCCTGCGCCATGCTCACAATTGTTGTTATGCTTGAGTCCATTGTTGCAACCACTGTGTCAACCCATCTCGTTGAGGGTCTTCCTCTTTTTAACTGACCCTCTACTTTACCAAGCATGATGTCCTTCTCCAGGGACTGATCCCTCCTGATAATATGTCCCAAGTATGTGAGACAGAGTCTCACTATCCTTGCTTCTAAGGAACATTCTCGCTGCACTTCTTCCAAGACAAATTTGTTTGTTCTTTTGGCAGTCCATGGTATATTCAATATTCTTCGCCAACACTACAGTTCAAAGGCGTCAATTCTTGTGCCACCTAGGGACCTTAATAAAACCCATTGCCAACAGGTCAGGTCCAACTCACAGCGACCCTATAGGACAGAGTAGAACTGCCCCATAGGGTTTCCAAGGAGCAGCTGGTGGATTCGAACTGCCAACATTTTGGTTAGCAGCTGAGCTCTGAACCACTGTGCCACCAGGGCTCTGTACTAAGGGTAACTCTGACATCCCCCAGTGATGATAGAGGGTTCGCTCTAGTCATGACTTTGATAGCTTTCCCTGCAAACCTTTTCTTGACTATAGCTACCCAGAGCAGGCAGGTTTTCCATCCCAGTACAGTCCTGTCCCTCAGAAGCGATGAGGGTATGAATACGGGGACTCGCAGAGTGAAAACGTAACTGACTAATAGCTGCAAGCCCTGGTTCTGCTGCGGCACTGCGGTAGGGCAAACGTCAAGGCCCACTCGCTGCTGTTGTTGCTTCTACATGGTATGCAGAGGTCAGCTGACCAAAAGCACTACTCAGATTTAGGATCTTGGCTCACAGTTGTAAATTTCTGAAATCAAGAATGGTTTACAGCTGCAGCATAATTCCATCTCTGCCTCCATCTTCACGCAGTTGCCTTCCCTGTGTGTCTCTCTGTGTCTCATCTCTTTAATTTGTTTGCAAAGTGTTCTCATATAATACCAGCACTTTTTTTTCTTCACGTGAATTTGAATTACCATCTGAGATCACTTGCTTTTTAGTCTGAAGAACTTCCTTTTGTATGTCCTGTAAGGCAGGTCTGCTAGCAACAAATTCTCTCGGTGTTTGTTAACCTGGGATGTCTTTATTTCATCTTCATCTGTAAAAGATGGTTTTGCTGGATATAAGATCTTGGTTGACAAGGCTTTTTTTCCCCCTCCCCCTTTCAGCATTTTGAATATGTCATCCCACTGTCCTCTGGCCTCCATTGTTTCTGATGGGAAGTCAGCTGTTTATCTTATTCAGGGAGTCTCCCTTGTATGAGACGAGTTGTTTTTTTCTTTCTGATTTTAAATTTTTCTCTTTGTTTTTAGTATGATGTGTCTGGGTGTGGATATCTTTGTATTTATCCTACCTGAAGTTTGTAGATCTTCTTAGATATTAGATTAATGCTTTTCATCCAATTTGGGAAGTTTGCAGCCATAATTTATTTCTTTGTATACTTTATCTGCTCCTTTCTCTCTCCTGGTCCTTCCATTATGCATATGTTGGTGTGCTAAACACCATCCCACATTTTCCTTCATTCTTTTTTCTCTGTGTTCTTCAGATTGTACAATCTCTACCACCTATCTTCAGGTATGCTGGTGTTTTCTTCAGCCGTTCCATCTATTATTGTGTCCCCCTAGTGAGTTTTTCATTTGGTTATTGCACTTTTCAGATCCAGAATTTCTACTTGTAGATGACAGATAGATAGACACACAGATAGATAGATAGATTTTCTATCTCTTTATTGATATTCTGGATTTTATGAGACATTGCCATCACGGCTTCTTTTACTTCTTAAATATGGTTTCCTGTGGTCTTTTGAACATGTTTATAATGACTGCTTTGAAGTCTTTATTAAATATGACCTCTGAGTCCTCTCACAGGCAGTTTCTGTTGCCTGCTTTTTGTTTTTTTTTTCTGTGTATGAAATGTCTCATAATTCCTGAGTGTTACCCTTTAAGTGTTCCTGGACATCTTAAAAGAAGTTAAAGACATATTTGGCTAATTATATTAATAGCTTATGAAATGCAGTTGGCCATTAGCTTCCACCCCACTATGGGTGTTATACTATGCCCCATCTAGCCAAATTCAAGAAGGAAAAATTTTACAAAGATTGTACAACTTCTACAGGTGCCTCTCTATTTTGCCTACCCACTACTTGGCCTGACCACTACATAACACAAGAGATAGAAGAAAAATCTCTGAAAATCTTACTGCCCACATGACCAAACAGGGTTGAACAGACTAAAGTTCTGCACTGAGCTTTAAGGATCCCCAGTTACCAAATTTGACACATCAGTGAGATTAGGTTACTGTCATAGCAAGAGAAGCAAGAAATAGCAGAGAGATTTTAAAGCAAGTAGTTGAGTAAGGTAGGAACCCTGGAGCTGCCATATTAAGTGCTCAGCTGCTAACTGAAAGGTTGGTGGTTTGAACCCACCGTCTGCTCTACAGGAGAAAGATACGGCAGTCTGCTTCCGTAAAGATTTACAAACTTGGAAACCCTATGAGGCAGTTCTACTTTGTATTATAGGGTTGCAATGAGTTGGAATCAACTTAGGGAATGGGCTTTTTTTTAGTTGGAGTAAACTTTGAGGACTAAGGTGTGCCTGACCCAAGCCATGGCATCTTCGATCACCTCATATGCATGCAAAAGCTGGACAATGAATAAGGAGGACCAAAGAAGAATTGATGCCTTTGAATCACAGTGTTGGCAAAGAATATTGAATATACCATGGACCACCAAAAGAATGAACAAATCTGTCTTGGAAGAAGTACAGCCAGAGTACTCCTTAGAGGCGAGGATGGCGAGTCTACGTCTCACATAATTTGGACATGTTATTAGAAGGAATCAGTCCCTGGAGAAGGACATCATGCTTGGTAGAGTAGAGGGTCAGCGAGAAAGAGGAAGACCTCAAGGAGATGGATTGACACAGTGGCTGCAACAATGGGCTCAAGCATAACAAAGATTGTGAGGACGGGGCAGGACCGGGCAGTGTTTAGTTATGTTGTACACGGGGTCGCTATGAGTCAGAACCTGCTAGAGGGCACCTAACAACAACAACAAGATAAGAAACAAAGGAAACTCATGATGTAAATGATGGTCATTCATGGCCA